ATTATTATGACCTTATTATACAGTTGCGAGCGCCATAAAACTTACTGAAAATTCTGCACTTTTATCTCGTTTGACGTTGGTTGCCGAACAAACTGGAAGACTGAGAAGGACCAGAATGTTAATTTTTTCCTGATCGGTAGGGGCCTACACTTTTAGACAATGTGGGAAGCAATGACTAATACGCCCTAGGGAAAACAATATTTCTAATGTTAAAGAAAGCTCTAATGGCATAATAATCTACACCTAACCTTTTCGGACAAGGATGAAAAATCTCGGAGGTCTAGCATGCATGTTGCGCATGTTAAAAATCCCTTGGAGGTAAAAATCGACAAGATTAGGCTTCGGCCGCCACATGGGCAAAATTCAAATAACTGCCTACCAACTGAAAATGTTTGATGTGCCTTGCGCTCTCATATAGCCTTATGCAGTTGCGAGCACCGTAAAACACTTACAAAAAAACAGACAACTCACTTATTCACAGCATTAGAGGCATAAACAGCTCTCTGAAAGTAATCGGTTTTGGCCTCCGATTCGTGGATAAATCTGCCCTGAGCCTGATATGCCCGAATGACATTGGTGCCAGATAGGGTCTCGCTGAAGTGTGCGTACAGCGGGGAGCGATTCTTGGAGGTGATTCGTCGGAGTTGGCAGGATGTCCGGATGTAGAATTGCTGAAAACCAACATGAAATGGTCGCTTTTAAGCACAAGGGCGCTATCCCGAAAAATGATGTTTTGAGAAAAATCGAAGGTAAACTTTTTGCCCCTTGTTCAGTTTCTTTAAAAGTCAAGGAGAGTTTGTTACAAAACCAATATACACACCAATGAACCCAAACTTCTCCTATAGGTAGGGTGATGCCCACTTTTAGTGTAGGTCAAGATTTCTGGAAATCCCCGAAATCTGAGTTAGCCCGCTGGTCCTTTAAAAGGGGCACTGTATTAGACATCTATCTACAACTGGTTGTACTGCTCGAATAAATCTGGCTCGTTTTTGGCCAGACCACAATGGCTGCACGTTTCTTTATTCCTTAGTATGGACCGTTCTTTGTAAGTGGCCTAAGCTGTCCCCGTAGTTTTACGCAAGAAAAACTCCGAAATTATGCAAGCTGAGCCCAAAAATATGAAATTATGCGATTCTGTTAATTTTAACGAAGAATGATAAAGGAGAATAATCAGAAATTATACAAAAAATGATCAAATATTACTAAATTATGCAGGGTGCATCGAGTTGTCTAAGTAGCCCCGGCTGACGGTAGGTAAAATACCATAGGAAGATGGGGGAATTCCACACCTGGCAGTAATTCCACCCCCCCTCCCCCACCCCAAATTACAGCACTCAGAACAAACAGAAATCTGCTTTACTTTCAGCTTTAATCACTTGCTTCTCTCTGCCTCGTTTTATTTTTCAATTCAGCTTTAATTTCTTGTATGTCTGTCTCTTTATTTTACTTCGGCATGTGCGCTTATGTGGGTGTGGATTTGACCCGCAATATAAATTTTTTTTTCCCCATTAAGTTGAAAAATGGAAGTACGGGGACGGTGATATCGTAGAATTCATGTTACGTCTTGTTTCCTAACTTATCAGACCCAAAGTAAAACTGTTGTGGAGGATGTGTCCCTAACACTTGTCTCACAAACCAATCGAAAAGTAAGATGTGGAATTCTACCATTTTACTATTAACATTATATCAGACTTATTTGTCCCCCCCCCCCCCCCACACCTCTCTCTCTCTCTCTCTCTCTCTCTCTCTCTCTCTCTCTCTCTCTTTCTCCCTCTCTCTCTCTCTTTCTCCCTCTCTCTCTCCCTCTCCTTCTGCCCACCCCATCTACCCCTCTCTCTCTCTCTCTCTCTCTCTCTCTCTCTCTCTCTCTCTCTCTCTCTCTCTCTCTCTCTCTCTCTCTCTCTCTCTCCCCCCCGCCCCTAATTTCTTGCCTAGGACAAAAACACTCACCTGAGCCAAATAGAACAGCCCCAAGAGTGGAACAATCACCGCCAAAAACACCGGGACGCTGTAACTTATGATGACGATAATCCCAACACTGCGCAAGATGTGAGCCAGGACAATCCTCAGCTCAAAAAACACCTCCATGTCTAACTGCTCCATGTCGGTTCCGAAACGGTTGAGAATCCGGCCCATGGGCGTGGTGTCGAAAAACTCCATGGGTGCTCGAAGGACGCTGTGCAGAAGATTGGCGTGGAATTTGCGACAGGATTTGATCTTACAGCATTGGAGGACGATGGAGTAGGCGATCACCAACACAGCTGAGGAAAATTTAGAGTTATTTAGAGCAGCAGAGTTGTGGTTCATAAGACGCAAGCTACGTATCCCATGGACAGCTAGAAAAACAAATGAAGAAGTCTTGGTTGAAGCAAATTGCAGACGACAGATATAAAATTATAAGAAAGCGACAGGCAAATTTCTTCGGACACACAATGCGGAAAGAAGCATAGGAGAATATTGTAACAACAGGCAAGTTTGATGGAAAGAGAGACAGAGGCAGACAGAGGGAAAAGATACTGGACAAGATGACAACATGGCTAGGAACAGCAAGAAGAACAGACACCATTGCTGCAACGAAAGACAGAGTGAAGTGGAGGTCTATGGTCGCCCACGCCAGTCGGCAAGGCACCAGATGATGATGATGAGAGCAGCAGAGGACAGTTTAAACCATTTTTTTAAAGTAAGGTTTTACGGTGCTCACAACTTCATGAGGTCATATTATGAGCGCCAAGGGGTGGATGTCAACAGAAGTCCAAATGGGGAATCAGGCTTACTCTGCTCACCTCTTTAGCCTCAACAGCATAAAGTCTCCTTCGACTATCAAGGCACCCGGAAACTAGCAGTTCACAAGAGAGTGACAAACATACAAAAGAAGTAGAGAAATGACGATAGTAAGGATGAGGAAAGAAAAAGCAGCAATTCCCCCTATGTTGTTCCGGAACCGAATGAGCATGACATTGATTTATCAGCCCATTTACAATTCTCCTGTGCATACAAACTTGTTAATATCTCCCCTTTTGGAAAGGCCTAAAGACACTTCAGTCAGTAGCATTGCCCTGAGGGGGCCGTGGACAGTTTAGAGTAAAGTAAGACCAGCTGATGACAGCTTAGAGCGTGGTGAAATCAGGCGCTCGTCAAAATACAGAAATCGGAGAAACAGACATTTTCCCGCCATTTGAAATTTTAAAATAAAATTTATATTTTTTGGCTCAATTTCTTTTACGTCCATAAAAGAATACATGTCTATGTGAATTTTTCTGGAAAAACATTGATTACAGGCACAAAATATTATGTCATTTTATTGTTTTCATGGAGTTAAAAAAATTTGGCGGCCATTTTCTCGCTAATTTCCCCTCTGAAACCCGGTGACCTCACTTCCTTTAATAGCAAAAATAACTTGAGTTTTATTCAAGATAAATGAATACATTGTATTTTTTTTCATTTGAAGCAAGGAAAATAAATCAGCTTTCAGATGATACCAATAACTCCATAAGCCCAGAAACGAGCACCCAAGTGACTCCCACGCGGCGTGCCCCATTTTCCTGTACCCGTCGTTTTATGCAAGAACAATTCTGACTGAGCCCAAAAATGTGAAATTATGCGATTCTGTTAATTATAACAAAGAATGATAAAGGAAAATAATCAGAAATTATACCAAAAAATGATCAAATTTTGGCTAAATTATGCGGGGTGCATAAAACCACGGGGACGGATTTTCAACTCACTCTGAGCTAAGCCAAGTCCCGTGTAGACCAGGAGATAGTACTCATTCTTGTCTGCCCTGGCCTCACTGCTGGCCGGAAGCTGAGTGAAGTTGGACAGGGGCTGGTCATCTGTCCACGCGGATAGCCAGAGGTCGCCGAGGTCAAGGGCCACTTCGTTGGCGATGAAAAAGACAACTGTCAAGATGGTGAAACCGATCCCATAAGCCTTGGCCACTTCGCCGTAGACTGACCACTTGATCTGAGAAATAGCATTATTAGAAGTGTGCTGACAAATTGAATTACTTCTCGGATTCAAGCCCTATAAGGACATTGATGCGTCACCCTTCTACCTGACGTTTTTACAACCAATAAGTAGGAATTAATAAAAGGCATGTAATACTTAAAGATATGGCATCAATAGAAAATCTACAGATTTGACCCTAGTGTCGATTTCTGGACAATATTATCCCTATTTGTGGATTGCGAGAAGTAACTCATTTTGTCAGCACTTAATCTCATCATCATCATCATTATAATTATTACTATTATTACTATTATTATTGTAGTTGTTGTTGTTGTGGGTAGTGTTTTATCATTTTTATTCCCGTATTACTGCTGCTTTTGTTGTTGTAGTTCTTGTTGTTGTTGTGTTAGTAATAATATCGTCACTATCCCTGCCTATCTTTTTGATAAGGGCGTAATTAAACCTATTCCCGAAATTTTTCCATTTTTATGGACTTCTTTAAAAAAAAAAGATGGGTAGTTGGCGGGTGCTCTGGTGTGGTCCGCTTCTTCTTTCCTATCAAATGTCTATCTTCTTAATCTCTCCATCTTTTTTGTGTTTGTTACTCTCTTGTAACACTTCTGATCTTCGGCACGTATATGACCTTATTGTGTTGCAAGTGCCGTAAAACACTAAGACCACTTTTTTTAAAAGAAAAAAAAAGCCAGTTACCTTTCCCGTGTCCATCTCCTCCTCTGTGATCAGCTTGCTCTTGCTGGGCTCCTCCTTCTTCTGTCCTGACTTCTCCACATGGAGCGTGACGTCAGAGCCTGCCTCCTGTTTGTGGACGCTGGAGGAACAGGTTTTCACACAGCGGGAGAATAATAAATGGCCGCTTTTAAGCACAAGGGGGCTATCCCGAAAAATGTTGTTTTGAGAAAATCGAAGTTAAAGTTTTTGGATCCTTGTTAAGTTTATTTAAAATACAAATACAAGGAGAGTTTTCTCTGAAACTAAACAAATGTACGCACCAATGAAACCAAACGTTCTCCTATAGGTAGAGAAATGCCCATGTTCTTATGCACAGTAAAATCGTAATTGTAAATGGGTTGATTCATCACTGTCATGCTCGTAACTGTGCCTGAACTTCAACAGGGACTGCTGCTTTATCTTTCCTAATCCTTACAATCGTCATTTTTCCTCTACTTCTTTTGTATGTTTGTCAGACTCTTGTGACCCGCTATTTTTGGGTTGCCTTGACTTGATAGTCGAAGCAGACCTTGTGCTGTTGAGGCTAGAGAGGTGAGAAGAGTAAGCCTGATTCCCTGTAAGGACTTCACTGTTGACATCCACCCCTTGGCGCTCATATGACCTTATGCAGTTGCGAGCGCCGTAAAACCTCTACTAAAACAAACAAACAACAACAGGTAGAAAAATCACCTCTTGTGCAGAGTCTCTCCAGCGCTATCATCAGCTGATTTCTCTGACGTTATGGACACCAAACGTTGAAACACGGCTTTGCTGATGTGACCGTCTGTGTGGGGGACATAATGATAAAGATAGTAATTATACTGGTAATGAAAGTAATAATAACTTTAAAAAATTTAAAAGTAAATATATAAATTATAAATAATAATAATAATAATAGTAATAATAATAATAATAATAATAATAATAATAACAATAATAATAATAATAGTAAAAGAACAATAATAAAAATAGCAATAATACTAATAATTTGCAGAGGAGAATTCAGTTGGCTACAGAGTTGATCTCGTCAGAGGAGTGAAAAAAGATAAACCCATCCGAAGTTCAACTTAACTATGGAGACCCGTAGAGCTGAGGGGAAGGAAGGGAGAAGATGGATAGATAGGCAGACAGACAGACAGATAGGTAGGTAGGTAGAGAGAGAGAGAGAGAGAGAGAGAGAGAGAGAGAGAGAGAGAGAGAGAGAGAGAGAGAGAGAGAGAGAGAGAGAGAGAGAGAGAGAGAGAGACTAATCGAACCTTCCATGATACTTTCATCCTCGCCCTCCTCCTCCTCCTCATCCCCTCCGCGGTCATTGTGAAGGTGCTGAGAGAGGAACTGTGCAAAGGCGCCTCCTCTCTCCACCCACTCGTCCAGGGTGGCCACACCAGTGAGGTGACCATCGTCCATCACTGCAATAGTGTCCACTTCTGTCAACCAGTGGATTCCATGGGTGACCAACACTCGGGTCTGAGGAAGTTTTCGTTTTAGTAAGAGTTTTACGGCACTTGCAACACAATACGTCATTGTTTTATTTTTGTTTTAGTAAGAGTTTTACGGCACTTGCAACACAATACGTCATTGTTTTATTTTTGTTTTAGTAAGAGTTTTACGGCACTTGCTACACAATAAGGTCATATAAGTGCCGAAGGTTAGAGGTGTTGCAAGAGAGAAACGAACAAATACTAAGAGAATAAAAAAGGAAGGAGGAGAGATAATGACGATAGTTGTTTGACAGGGAAGAAGAAGCAAACCACACCAGAGCACCTGCCAACCACCCTCACGTTTGGTTTTAATAAGAGTTTTACGGCACTTGCAACACAATAAAAGTCATATAAATATAAGTGCCGGAGAATAGATTATGGTGTTACAAGAGAACAACATACACAAAAAAAGAAGGAGAGGAGAATAAAGACGATAGAATCTAGGTGTTTGATAAGAAAGAAGAAGCAAACCACACCAGAGCACCCACAAACCACCCAGTTGAGAAAGTGAGATAACTGTTTGAGTTTAAAAATAAATTGATTAATATTTCTAGTAAAAGTTTTACGGCACTTGCAACACAATAAGGTCATATAAGTGCCGAAGAGTAGAGGTGTTACAAGAGAGTAACAAACACGAAAAAGAAGGAGGAGGGGAGATCAGGACGATTGATGTTTGACAGGAAAGAAGGAGCAAACCACACCAGAGCACCCGCTAACCACCCACCTGAGTAAGCAAGGTAAGCGTACGAGTTTGCTTTTGTTTGTTTAAAAAAAAAAGAGTTTTGCGGCACTTGCAACACAATTAGGTCATACAAGTGCCGAAGATTAGAGGTGTTACGAGAGAGAAACGAACAAATACAAAGAGAAAAAAAAGGAAGGAGGAGAGATCATGACAATAGTTGTTTGATAGGGAACAAGGAAAAACCACACCTGAGCACCCGCAAACCACCCATGAGTACGGGTTAAACGCCACTATCAACATAACATCTCAGTCGAAAGAGCTCCCCC